AAGTAAACACTAATGTTTCTATTTCTTTCAAAACCATAGACGCAGTTATACATGTATACCCATGATGCACAATACTGTTTGAGTTGAAATGTACAAGCCACATAATCAAGGCCAAATGTCACTCAGAAACAAATTTACCAAAAACCAAACATACCTTCCTAGTTTCTATGGTAACAACCTGCATATTGCAAAGCACCTGCTTTAAGTAAGACCTGAATTTTAAGTGTAATATATTGATTTCATTTCAAATGAAGCATAAACAAAACCTGTGGGATAATTTTACCAAAACCAGGCACTCTACTTAACAGGTAAAATAATGGCTACAATGTAACTGCTATTTGGCAGTCAAGAATCGGAACTGATTCCATGTGTACAATTTATGCAGTCATAGTGTCTACAAGTGGTAAGGAGACCCCCAGTGGAAAAATAAATACCAATCAGTACTACAGCTGTTGTGCCCGCAGTAGTTTTGATAAATGAATACAAACAAAATTCACCTACAGTCCATGCAGGTAGAAATGACAAACTTCTGTAAAATACTTTATTTTCACTTATAATTTATTTTCGCTGAAGGGATGATTCAGTGAAAATAAAATCCAGCGAATATACCTTTTTTACTATATCTTACATTAGACTCAACAAAAATCAGTAAAAATAAACACATCCAACTAAAAGCACCATTTATTAAAATGTAGGATTTGTAGACATTGTCCATTGCATGATGACATACACTTTCTTTTGGTATGTAAAAAAATACAGAAACACACCAAAAAGAAACTCTCGCATTCCCAATAATATATTAAGAAACCATCACTAATCTGCAGAATGACAATTAAGCTGTTAGAAAATGTTATTTCTAAAGTCCTTTCAGCCAAATTTAATTCCAGCTACATTAAATACACTGCTAATAGTTAAGTTCTAGTTTCTCTGGTATACCTGTGAATGTTGTTGAGAAACTGTTTTGATAAACATTGAACAAAAGTGATGGTATATGGTGTAAAATACCCACTGTCACTTTAAATAAGACACACACTGTGTTAACCAGTTGTCCTTTTGTCAGTACATTCATGGAGGGTTAGGTGGCCAGATAATAGAGAGAAGGGATTCAAATGAAACTACTGCAGGGCACATTATTGTGGAAGATCGAACAAGGTAAAGTTGGTAAACATCAATAATATAAACACAGACACAACACCATTCATTAACAGATAGATAAAGTAAAATACCAGTTTGGAGCAATACACTTAAAGTATACACTCAAGGACATGCATTAGGAAACTTGTAATTGAGCACAGTTATAGCTGTACTTTACAACTTACAAGCCATACTCAGACACTGTCATTCACGAGTCCAGACTTTGAATTGCTAGGGAGGAAAATATGCCTTATTTGAATGGGTGTTCACAATGGAACCCCCACTTGGACAATCACAATCAGGTCTTTTTTACGGACATTCAATACTAAGTTCTGGTTTATACCTTCGGGGTTGCACGATTTATCATCGTATACACGCCCCACTTACATTACAACAAAAAGTAAATTTATAAAACTAGCCTTGTACGTACACTCGGCCATTTTCGAAGCACTTATTTCGTACAGCAACATTGCGAACTTTGGCCAAGTAGGGTTATTTGACTTTACTGAAATGTGACGAGGGAATATGCCAGGATGACAGGAATTATGTTAAAACACGCTGTACATGGGACACAAAGCGACACTGCAAAGCGTACCATCTCATTGCACAGTGGTAGCACCGCAGCGATTTCAGATGGCATGTTTCCTCTACAAATCGAATTTATTTTGAGTCGAAACATTATGCTGTGTACTGGGAATGACTTGCAGAGAATTGGAACATACCTGCACCTTCTATAATGCGGAGATGTTGAACCAAGTGGATCTAAACACTCGAACTTTCCAACTAGTACGACATTCGAAATCCTACAAGCAGCAATTTACTAAAGACAATATGTGTACGTTGTTTACAGGTGATGCCATTCGGTTAGAGGGGTAGACGGTTACGGTGAAGGGGTGAAAGGAAATGTATTTCATTTGAAGGTTGTTTTAACTACATTATGTCATGACACAGTGATTCAGTTTGGTAAAAGTAATAACATATAGAGTAAAAAAAGTTCAAAACTAAAAACAATCACACTAATATACTTGTACCTCGCTACATCTGAGAACGTCCATGAGTGTTTCTGCCCTCTAGAGGTAGCTGTTGAATTACTGTACTGAATGGAAAGGTTTGCACTATTCGACAAGTGATGGCGTGCACTACTAGAAGTGACACACAAAGCTGTTTTCGCAAAATACTTACAAATCATGAAATTGTTAATTTGGATTTACTGTTAGAGTTACTGTTATTGCAGCATTGTTCATGGTTGTTATTTTCGCACAGCTTTCTATTTGAAGTGCCGTGACTAGTTTAAATAGCCACGAGAAGAGAAGTCATCGCCAATCTCAACATAGTCGCACGATTTCAGTTATGATTTCTTAATTCTCCGTGTTTTCGGAGAAATTGTAATAAAGCACTAAACCGTGTTTTGGTCGACTTACGTCCATGTCCAAATAACCTGTCGAATAGTTGAGACCAAGCTCTTCAAAAAATAATTTTTTATTATTTTTTTTGTAAAATTCCTTGAACGTTGTTGGAACGCAGTAAAATGTCATATACTTGTATATATACTAGTAATATAGATCAAAAACTTATATTATATTGGGTATGACAATAAATTAGCTTCGAAATGGCCAAACTCACTACTAGTTTTTACAAATGTGATTAAAACAGAGGCCCAATCAGAGGTACATTACTTGGGGTTTGCAACTCGCATAGTACTGTATGGTGACATCATGTCAAGATCCCATTGAAGTCTCATCTCGTAGATAGCGAGACTGAGGCTACGACCTTCTGACATGATATATATCAATGTTCAAGGTTTGTAATGAAAAAATAAAACTTTTCTTGCCACTATCGTAGTGAAAAATGTAATACATCGAAAATGTACAGAAAATATAGTTCTCGTAATCCGTCATATCGTGGGCAGCTATTTTGATCCACCTGGACATCCCAGTATCCTAGTTACCGCGGGCATGCGCATTCGCATTTTTCTGAGTTGGAACGCTTATGCGAGAGCGAGATTGTAACGGGATCTTGGTATCATGCCACCGTAGTTGCAAACCCCAAGTAATGTACCTCTGGCCCAATATAGGGTACTGGTTTCTGGGCGGTAACAGTTATTTTGGATGTCCGGAAAGATAAAAGCCCATTCAATAAAGTCACTTACAATATTGATAACAACACAAATCAAAACAGAAGGTTGTAAGCACTATTCTACTTATGGAGTACATTGTTATTCAAGTTCTGGTTCTACGCATTCTATGGCACCGTCAGATCAATATAGAATCAACACGTAAAATGTATTCCATACAGTTGGATGTTGTATAATAACATCGCTTATTAGAAAAAAATAAAATAAATCTGAACGTGTTGAAACCAGCCTTAAACATTATATCATTCAAGATCACTCAGATATCACTCTGTTTAACATTCTAGTATTCAAAAACAATATACAATGTATAACACTTGAGCACTATACCCAAACTGCGAATGTAACCGTATACATTTTTATTTTCCATGTTCCAGTGTACGTTATCTGAGCAAAATATTTGACAACATTATTTTCAATACAGTATTTAAAATATGGGACAGCATATTAATCAACGGTGTCGTACTATAAAGCGTACAGTAACGCCAGTAACGCGCAGCTACTGCTGATGTTGTGGGTTGGTGGCACGCACTGGCTCAGTCGGTGTTTTTTACACTCAGAGAAATGTCTTTTCCTCTGGCAAGTAGTATGGAAAATAATGTTTTCGATGTTACGTTTATTAGTAACACGTGTATTAATTAATGAGATAGGTGGAGTAACTTAGAGTTAACGGGAAAGAATAGATACTATGTTAGTTTAGTTAGGATACCATCAATCTGATTAAAATCTGATGTAGTGTACGGGCTTTAATTATTTTGGCTATAAACTTATTTTAATTTATTTTTATACTTTTGTTATTAATGCCCTTTTATTT